GCCCCGCTCGGCCAGGCCGCCCGGGACCTCCCCCGGGCCCCTGCCGGTCACCCGGGCGGCCCGGATCCCCACTCAGAGTTTTACTAATATTCGATGATGATGATGACGATGACGATGACGATGACGATGACGATGATGATGATGATGATGAGACGATGACGATGACGACGACGATGACGATGACGACGATGATCATGATGATGACAATGACGACGATGATGACAACAAGACCCCTCTTCCCTGGCCCCACATAACTGGGCCAGCAGTGCTCTTTATTCAATGCTGGCAATGTTGCAGAAGACCTGTAGGCACCCATGAGCCCTATCATAGGCATGACGGTGGCCTGAGAACTGCTGACCATAGGGGGCGCAACACTGGTTTTGTCATTTTTTGTGACTTTCTCCACATCATCAGGACTGTTGGAGCGACCGTGATCTGCAATGCCATTCAGACAATCCCCAAACTGTTGAACTGTTTTTTTCCAAACAGGAATATTGGAAAATAATAAAAGTATCCACTTTTGACGTACTGCACACAGTCAGTGAAAGTCCGACAAAACAGTCTGGCACAGTCATGCTTTTTCTGAGTGTATAGCGAATATGACAACACACATACATACATGTATATATCTGTTATATAGATAGTGTATAACATATATATATATATATATATATATATATATCTATATATATATATATGTCTCAATACACACAAATTCGACAAAAAATTAACAGATCAATAAACGAGTATGCAAGGAAGATGAGCAATAGCGAACTCCAGCAATCAAACAGCATCATACACATAAGACCAGATAGTCGTGACCTCGAACCAAGAGCAGAATTGCATCACGAGTTTCACCAAATAAGATCACACCACAAGTTCATAATTGACAATGCTGGTATAGTCTCATCATCGTCATCAACAAAGAACCAATGTTGATAACATATCTGGCACTCGGCACCCAGACTACAGATGGCAGATCCTATCTAGCCTAGACTACAATGCCGAAGATGATGTCAACAGCTTTCCTGAAGTACGAGCATACAGCGACCAATGTTGCAAGCTTCCAGCACCAGGTATGTCTCTCACCTCACTCACAACCTCGTTCCCCAACACACAGATGCCACTTGCACCCAAGGACCACCCTACGCCCCACCCAGCTCACAGCAGCGCAGCTCGGCTATGGCTGCCTGCTCCTTCCCGCTCGCCCGTGAGCACGTGAGTGCCAGCCAGTTCTAGCGCAGCAGCGCTTGCGCAGCATGCAGCCAGCACCCGAATTCCAAATGCGGAGGCAGGCCCTTTGCTATATGGAAGTGGCCTGCC